CTTCGGCTGCATTAGGCTGTTGATGTTGTGGCGTCCCAACTGGCGGTAGAATTTTGATCTAGCTGTGTTAGTGAAGAATTAGCTCTTATATCACTTTCATAACCCAGAGCGGTAGAACAACGTACTGTGCCCATCATCAGTTTCCGATCGGTGTCCGAACTAATGCCGGCAAACGATTTTTCTGTATGCGCGATGAAGGTACAGTATAATTGGGACGCTCAGGTTTTTTGCGATAACACAGGCGATGAAATGAACGCCAACATTGACGACATTCCTCCAACATGCCGGGTAAGTGGCATTCATAACAATATAAATCGTGAGAGGTCTTCTCTTTGATCTCTTGTAGTGTGGGTAACGCAAACGTTTAAGTTCAGGCACTACAGCTCTGGGAGAACGTGGTGAAGACATGTGGCCGATACAGGCATAAGCAAACCATCTCACGTAAAGCATTAGCCACAGTTTCCTTTGCGGCCGCTTATAATTTTTTTAATTAATTTTTATTTTGCAAAAAAAAAAATTAAGCAAATATTAACTTACATATAGAATAGTTGCCTTTTTTTAGTAAAACATCTACCAAATTGTCGACCGAACATGATTCCTCACGTCCATTTTGATGATGGCTATTTTCCTCATGGCTGCTACCATTGGGACTGCGTAAAACTTTTAGAAAGTAACGCAAACAATCTGGCTGAGCTTTGCGTATAACTTGAGACATGTTTTTATGTTGCATGCAATTTTTAAATTAATTTTATGATTTTTTTACACATTTTTAACATAATTTTGTGAGGAAATCTAATAACTGTTTATTAAATTTAAGCAAAAATTGGAAAAGTGTTTTTGTTTCCACACTAACAATCAATCACAGTGGTAAAGTGAAATACAAACAATCACAGTAATGAAAGGCAACAGCTGAGTAGAGTTCTATAGTTCAAATAAGAAGTCGACTTTTTGCAATTTATGAAAAGTCAACTTTATTATACACTTCACCTTTATGAGATATATAAGTTTGTCAATCCATTTGTAATTGTAAATTACTCATTACTTAATAATGATATCGGGAAAATTCTACACGATTATATTTTTTATAAGTACATACAAATCATTCTGTCAAAGTTTTTCCGGATCGGTCCATAATTGGATATAGTGCCCATTTGGTATGGAGATACATTTTTTCACAAATATACATACCTATATACAAATCATTCTGTATATTTTTGTCCAGATTGGCCCATAATTGGTCGTAGATCCCATATAAAGCTCTCTACTAAATCAAAAATCACTTAATCGTAAATAACTCAGGAATTAATAATGATATCGGGATAAAATTCTAAATTAATATGTTTTGTATATATTCTGCAAAATGATTTTCAGATCGGTTCTTTATTTGTTTATTATTTAAGCTTACAAAATTTATGATCAACTCTCGACTTTACACTGAGCTGCAGCTCTTTTTCAAAATCGTAACGCTGATTTTCTTCCAGAAACGAACTTAATGCTTCATCCTTATCTAAATGAGCAAAAATAATTTGTAAACTCCGTCGAGGATAGGAAATGTATAATAGCGAGTTAAAATTCGTAGGCAAACTATACAAAGCTACCTTTTCCTTATCGTTACTATCTGCAATAACATAATCGTCGTCATCATTGGCAATACTATTAATTTCCATATGATGAAAATAATATTTAAAGGCGCGCCATATAAATATCAGTAATGATAATGCGATTATTGAAGCACCAAAGATATGACAATATTTTTCTAGTTTGTAAACGATTTGTAACAATTGAATAGAGTTTTTGGTGCGCATATACAACATGTCAAGCCAAAAAACTGGAAATAACATACGACGTTTTGTTTGATATGATCTGAAAATTTTGTAAGGGAATTGTTAACAACTTTAACTTTTGGGGCCATATATTTACAACATACCTTATATGAGAACGTGGTTCTATGTAGAAATTCAATTGAAATTTAGCTCTAAGTTCCAACATTAAACCTGTACGTGGTTCTAATATAACCGTAGTTGTATACATTTTTTCATCCGATTTTAAACCGTCTACTTTCGATATAAAGTATGTATCGGCAATTGTAAAATGAGGATTTGAAACAAAAAGCGGTAGACCAAACCAACAAGCGGAGATGTTACTACACCGTACGGTAGACATTCACCATTACAAAAACATTCGTTGGCCGCATTTAATGTTCCATTATCAAACATATTCGATGATAATATATAACGATATCCCAAAATACCATCCACCTCTACTTCATCCTTATAATCCATATTTACTGTGCGACAGAAATCTGGAAGAAAATATTGTATTGATTTATACTTTTTTAGATTGGACTTTTGAAACTCTCCCGGCGATCCACTTATAGCTGAATATTTCTGCGCGTAAGGTTGAGTATTATTTTTACCCTTCCATAGAAGAAGTTGACCAAATTGTTCCATGTTTCCCACACCAGTGCTTATAGTGTGTGTACCCAGCAAGTTTGTAGAGCCATTGCGCTAATTAGCAACAAAAGTAATGTCTGTAGTTTTGGTAAAAAAAAAACGTTTTCCAATTTTCAATTCTTACCCCATAAATGAAACCAATACGATCCCATGGTACAAAAATTCCCATTGCACTGCGGAACGACGACGGAAATATCGATAATAAATTTACAAGGTTATCCTCAAATCCTTTAAAGAAATACTCTTCAGCAGTTCGCTTCCAAACTATACCATTTCGGTACAATCTCAAGGCCACATCAACAACTGCTCTTTTCATATAGGACCAATCTTTAGTTTTAGAGGCGGCAGACTATAATTTAAGTTATAATTACTGCTTTATATCTGATTTTACCACTAGTAATGCGTTCAAAGTAAATAGTTTATCGTCTAAGGTTCGTTTAGTTTTAGCCTTATCAAAGTAATACCAATGTTTTCTACCATAATCTAAAGTGTTATTTTAATGATGCCACTGGAAGATTTCTTTTTCCGGTATTTCAACAAAACTATAGGGACCAATTTCTTGTAGTTTTGGTTTTACGCTGGGATTAAAAAAATCATCTGGATTTGTCCAGTTGAAAAAATAAAGTTCTAATGTTATATTCACATCAGGTTTTGTCCATATATCGACAATTTTATTTCCGGGACGTAGTTCCAGATGCTGTGAAATTAAAAACAATTATTAGTTATACTGAAATAAATTAATGAGGAGTTTCTAATCCAAATCTTTTGCTTCAAGATTTAAAAAAAATTCGAAATTTTTGAATTGAAATTTTAGTAGTAAAAAAATACATACTTACACTATTTATAAAGCGATTAACAAATATGTTTGAAAATACTATACAGAATACCCCTACTATGGCTAAAAGAATGGCAAAAATTATAAACAAATACTTGGCGTATTTCTTTATCCACTTAATAATTAATTTGGATGCGGATCGTTTCGGCATTTTTAACTGCAATAAATATTCTGAAAATATATCAAACAAATATATTAATTGTTATAATTTTATCTTATATCTCGAAGAAGGAAGAAAATATAATAGTGCTTAAATCTTTATTTTAAACTTGACACTTCCATTTCAAGTTATTTTCCAAAGGAGGACCTTATATAGGAGGGATATGTTTTATTATGGATCGATCCGCATAAAATTTAATAGATTTCTTTTTTTGTGTTGAATTTCATAACCCTTTCTGCGTTTTAATAAAGTAATTTTCTAAAGGGGATCTTATATAGAAGGTATTTTGGACCGATCCTAATTAAGTTTGTTAGAGATATTTGATTGCTGCCTTATTAACTTATTTATGACTCATTAAACTCGCGTGCTTTTAACTGCAGACGGGAGGATATGGTTAGATTGTTTTAGAATCTAATAAAGACATACATACATACAAACAATATTTAAATGTGTTACAAATTTGATATTTTTTGTGTCGAATTTGTATGTGTTAATAATAATCAAAATATGAAATCAATGACTATAATAACTGGTTTATAAAAATGAAATTCTTAACAAGGTTTATTAGCTAGAATGACTATTAACCTGAAATTAATATAATTAACCACACTTGACGTTTTTTTGCTAATTAATTTCCAATAAAAAGTGTAATCTATATATATAAAATTCTAACGTTACTGCCTGACTGACTGACTGACTGACTGATTCATCATCGCACAGCCTAAACGGTTTGCAGCTAAAGAGCTGAAATTTGGACAGGAGTTGGTCTCCCGCCCCCAAATAAGATCCACTAAGACGGGATTTTTGGAATTCGAATGTTTAGGGGGTAAAAAAGGGTAAAAACGGGTAAATTCGGTAACCACTTATATCTCCCTAACTAGAAAAGATACAAAAACAGTTTAAAAGCTTATCGCCGTTCATTTAAAAAATAAACGGACAGGTGTCTGGTACTTTTTTAAAATTCGGCCCCTTTAGGGAATAAACGGGTATAAAAACTGTATTTTGGTACTTTTTTCGCACCCCATGTATCTTTTAAACCAGTGCACATTCAAAAATATTTTGACTCCTTCATAACTTAACGAAAAAATAAAATATGAATTTAGTACTTTATGGATATTCGGACGTTTAAGGGGTTAAAATTGTACCTATTTTTGGTACTTTTTTTCATAAAACATTGTTTTTGGTTTATTAACTGATACATATGAATACATAATAACAGGCTCCACTACGATGTTGCAACTTTTTGGAATAGAATTTTTATTTCGTTAATGGGGAGGAAAAAAGTACCAAAAGGGGTAAAAACGGGAAATTTGATTTTATTCAACCACAATGATCCAATTAGAAAAAATTTTTAAATTTAGAAACACTAAATATCCTAATGGGGTGTTATTTGGAACCCCGGTATCAAGTGATATTTTTTGGTACTTTTCATTCTCCAACTGGTCCTTTTTGAGTTTTCTATGATATTGAAATAGAAACATGAAATTAATAATAAAGGGACTTTTCGCTACTTTTTCGTTCTACACAGGTAGTTTTTTGAGTTTTCTTTAAAATTAAAGCTAGAAACATGAAATTAAGCATGTAGAGCTCGGAGTAAATGAGAATCTATAAAATGGGACTTTTTGGTACTTGTTCGTTCTCTAAAAGGTACTTTTTGAATTTTCTATAATATTGAACCTAGAAACATGAAATTAAACATGTAGAGACCGGAGTAAATGAGAATCTATAAAAGGGTACTTTTTCGTCCTTCGACTGGTACTTTTTGAGTTTTCTATAAAATTTAACCTAGAAACATGAAATTAAGCATGTAGAGCCCGGAGTAAATGAGAATCTATATAAGGGGACTTTTTGGTACTTTTTCGTCCTTCGACTGGTACTTTTTGAGTTTTCTATAAAATTTAACCTAGAAACATGAAATTAAGCATGCGGAGGCCTTAGTTAATGAGAATCTATAAAAGCGGACTTTTTGGTACTTTTTCGTCCTTCGACTGGTACTTTTTGAATTTCCTATAAAATTTAACCTAGAAACATAAAATTAAGCATGTAGAGCCCTTAGTAAATGAGAATCTATACAAGGGGACTATTTGGTACTTTTTCGTCTTTCCACTGGTACTTTTTGAGTTTTCTATAAAATTTAACCTAGAAACATGAAATTAAGCATGTAGAGCCCTTAGTAAATGAGAATCTATACAAGGGGACTATTTGGTACTTTTTCGTCTTTCGACTGGTACTTTTTGAGTTTTCTATAAAATTTAACCTAGAAACATGAAATTAAGCATGTAGAGCCCTTAGTAAATGAGAATCTATAAAGGGGACTTTTTGGTACTTTTTCGTCTTTCGACTGATACTTTTGAGTTTTCTATAAAATTTAACCTAGAAACATGAAATTAAGCATGTAGAGCCCGGAGTAAATGAGAATCTATAAAGGGAACTTTTTGGAACTTTTTCGTCAGGGGTTAAAATTTTACCTATTTTTGGTACTTTTTTCATAAAACATTGTTTTTGGTTTATTAACTTATACATATGAATACATAATAACGGGCTCCCACTACGATGTTGCAACTTTTTGGAATAGAATTTTTATTTCGTTAATGGGGAGGAAAAAAGTACCAAAAGGGGTAAAAACGGGAAATTTGATTTTATTCAACCACAATGATCCAATTTAGATAAAATTTTTAAATTTAGAAACACTAAATATCCTAATGGGGTGTTATTTGGAACCCCGGTATCAAGTGATATTTTTTGGTACTTTTCATTCTCCAACTGGTCCTTTTTGAGTTTTCTATGATATTGAAATAGAAACATGAAATTAATAATAAAGGGACTTTTCGCTACTTTTTCGTTCTACACAGGTACTTTTTTGAGTTTTCTTTAAAATTAAAGCTAGAAACATGAAATTAAGCATGTAGAGCTCGGAGTAAATGAGAATCTATAAAATGGGACTTTTTGGTACTTTTTCGTTCTTCAAAAGGTACTTTTTGAATTTTCTATAATATTGAACCTAGAAACATGAAATTAAACATGTAGAGCCCGAATTAAGTGAGGACCTATAAAAGGGGACTTTTTGGTACTTTTTCGTTCTTCAAAAGGTACTTTTTGAATTTTCTATAGTATTGATCCTAGAAGCATGAAATTAAGCATGTAGAGCCTGGAGTAAATGAGAATCTATAAAAGGGGACTTTTTGGTACTTTTTCGTTCTTCAAAAGGTACTTTTTGAATTTTCTATAATATTGATCCTAGAAGCATGAAATTAAGCATATAGAGCCTGGAGTAAATGAGAATCTATAAGAGGGGACTTTTTGGTACTTTTTCGTTCTTCAAAAGGTACTTTTTGAATTTTCTATAATATTGAACCTAGAAACATGAAATTAAGCAAGTACAGCCAAAATTAAGTGATAACCTATAAAAGGGGACTTTTCGGCACTTTTTCCTTCTTCAAAAGGTACTTTTTGAATTTTCTATAATATTGAACCTAGAAACATGAAATTAAGTACGTAGAGCCCTGAGTAAGTGAGAACATATAAAAAAGGACTTTTTGGTAATTTTTCGTTCTTCAAAAGGTACTTTTTGTGTTTTTTATAACATGAAATTAACCATGTGGAGCCCGGAGTTAATGAGAATCTATAAAAGGGGACCCTTTGGTAATTTTTCGTTCTTCAACTGGTACTTTTTAATTTTCTATAATATTGATCTTAGGAACATGAAATTAAATAAAAGAGGTCTTTTGTTACTTTTTCGTACTTCACTGGTACTTTTTGAGTTTTATAAAATATTGAATATATAAACATAAATTTAAATAGGGGACTTTTTGATATTGCAGATATATATACATTTACAATAATATTTATTTTATTTCATTACGATGAGGGTAGCGAAGCACACTGGGTATAGCTAGTATTTAATAAATCTTTTTAATTAAAGTATTTTAATGATATTTGTTAAGTAGGTATATACTATGTATATTAGAGAGGAGCCGTTTTTGTGGAGAACAAATAAGGTACTTATGTATATACCCACCGAAATTGAAAGTCTAGTAAATTCTTATACATATACCGTTTATCAAAATTTTTGTCCTGGGGTTATTAGGTTAAAAATATCCTTTTTTTACTTATTTTACGCAAATGAATGAAATGAAATTTGTTTTATTATGTTAAAGATCTTTGAGAGGCACTTCTACGTTTCAGTTCAAAAATATGAATATTTTAAAAAACTTCCGAAAAAATTACAATTTACATCGATTTATTTAATATAATTCCCAGAAATGAATATATCATAACCCTCATTAAATCACCGATAATTTAGATTTTTAGATATCTAGGATATTTTAAAAATATCGACTACTATACTTACACGTAAGTTCAGCAGCTTAATTATTTTGTAAATAATTATTAGTAAATAATGTAATATTTTTATATGAACATATGTATATTATATTTCTTAAACTTTACTGATCAGAGTCTGCTTAATTACTGTTTCAATATATAATGCAAATAGAAATCAAATTATGTAAACGAATTAAAAAATCATATTAATTAGGTTTTTTTCAAAATATAAAAACAAAATTTAGAGTAATTAGGCAATTGAATTAATTAGCTTGTATACATACATACATATATACATATGTATGTATATATAAAAAAAATATATATTTTCTTAAAAACCAAATCATTAATTAATCGAAAGGGGGTAAATTATCTTTTATTTGTTCTTTTTCCAACAGTTAGTTCAGCCCACCCTACTTCGCTTAGTCAATAGATTTATGGACTAATCAAGTAGAAGTAGCCTAATCTCTTGGTTTAGACCTCAAAGCAGATTAAATTGTTACAACAACAATAAAGCTGTCTAAATACTCTCCGCTATATATAAGGATCCATAATATATATATTTTATAGGTTTGGAAAATTATATAGTGGAAATTACAAACGGAATAAAAATTTAAAAGTCGACTTTTAAGAAATTGCAAATAGTCGATTTTTTTTTTCAACTAAAGAACCCTACCACCATTCTGTAATGTAAACAATGTGGCAGCATTAATCTTAATAGCGCTTTCCAACTTTTTTCAAAGTTTTGTTTACAATATTTTTACAAGAAAAAAAATGGAATTTAGCACCAAACAATCGCAACAATTAAAACAATTTAAAAATTTGGTTAAATTACATAAACTGCAAGCAAAATGTGAAGAATTTAAAGGAGAATTAGAAAATGTAATAAGTGAAAGAATCGAGTACTTGGGTAAACGTGAACAATTAATGGAACATTTAACATCACTGCAAGGAGAACTAAAGATAGCACGCAATGAGGAGTACAACTGGCAACAGAAACTAGATGCAGGTTCATTTATTATTATTAAATATTTTCGCTTTAGGTATATTTAACTGTTTATACAAATTTTTTTAGCTAAGATTTCTTTTGCGGATTATAAAAATGATAATTTACAAAATATTTGTGTGGTTTTGGGTTATCAGATTACAAAATGCCAGCCTCTGGAAAGTAATGGTGTACAAATTACGGTTTGTTGTGATTTAAATGTTACTTAAACTTTTTCATTCAATAATTCCATTATTTTTAGCTAAATTATCGTGATATTTGTTATGTTACCTACAGTGAAACATCGCAATTGTTTAATTTGCTAGAGATTTATCCACAACATCCAAATTTTGACCAAATTCAACAATTTTTACAAAATTCTCAAGATCTGAGAGGTTTATTGTCATGTCTGCGTAAATTTTTTGATTTTGCCATTGATTTTAAAGAAAAACAAGAACAAGAAAATATATAATTTTTAGATCGCATGAAAGATTTGAATTAAAAAATAAAAAAAACTATTTGCTAGTTTTATTTAAATATTTATTTATTTTACATACATATATAAATGTATATAAAGCAACACGATTATTTGATTATTGTAATATTGTTTATACAGGAGAATTTATATCGATTCGTTTTCAAAACCGAGAAGCTTTTAAAACCGAATTTGGTGTTCTGCAAATCGAATTTTTATTTGATCGTAAAATTCAGAATAATAAACATATTTAAATGAAAAAGAGTTTAAAATGCCTATAGCATTAATAGGTATTAAGTTACAATTGCAAAAAATAATTATTTAATTTATTAGAATAAAATTTAATTCGATTTCTGTACTCGGTTTTAAAACGAGAAAAAATACTCGCTTTTAAACTAGAAATTTACTCGGATTTGGTTTACAGAACATACATAAAATTTAATTATAATTTGAGGACTGACAGACACTTGTTCTAATTAAGCAATGTTATCTCCTTTGTTAAAAACTATTTTCTGAAGATCCCAAATATTTAGAGGTCCAATTATCGATTCACGATATCAGTTTAGTTTAATATAAAGATATGTCAAAAAATAACAGAATTAGATAATTTATTCCATTTGTGAAGATTTTACCCCAGAGAAGAATATCAGAATATTGCATTTTAATTATTTGTATATTATGCCTCTTTTTAATCACACGAGTTCAACCTTTCTTCAAAATCCTTCTGGTCACGTTGTTTATTCATAATATCGTTGAAAATTTAAAAATGCAGCTAAAAACTTAGCCGGCTTACAAACGATTTTAAAACGCCGCCGACATTTTTTAATGTCAATCAACGCCGTCAATGATCTTTGTCGGCGCAGGTCTTTGTTTTTTAGCGTTTTGCTAATTTTTTTCATTATATTTTGTTCGTTTGTTAAGGTCGGTTCGAGAAAAAGTAAAATAAGATCCAACAGATTTATTTTTAATTTAATTTTATTAAAAGAATTACAACTATAAGATATTGTAAAAATAAATATAAACTTAAAAGATGTGAAATAATTGTTAATAAAAACAAACTGAGTTTGTCTTAAATAATATATATAAACAAAGCGGTAAAAAAGAAAAAACCTTTGACACACCGCTTGTCAAATTGTAAAAAAATTATCTGAATATAATAGAAAAGTTCAGTAAATAGTTGTTAAAGTTTTAAAAAATTGTTAATGTTGAAATTGAAAACAATCATTTGGCTTTTACTTAATTGAAATATAACAAATTTTCCGTGAAAATCGTATAAGAAAGCACATGATTAAAGCAAATTGTTTAAAACCAAATTGTCAAAACAATTAATTAAGAGTTTGCAGGGCTCTAAAGAGAAACGTAAAAAATTAAGAGTGTTAAAAATATTAACAACGGTGAAAAATCTTGATAATTTTTCCATATTGTTAAAGAAAAACGTGTTATTATTAAACGTATAAAATTATAAATTTACCAAAGATTAATACAAATTTGTTTAGTAAATAACATAAAATATTATGGATAGAAAGTTGAGAAAAACCTCCAACCTAAAAGGATATAGTTTATTAAACAAAACTCCCGCAGCTGCTGCTACAGCAAATATTACCACTGCTATGAAAAGTGATAATTTCATGCAAAATTCATATGTGATTCCAACAAATACAAATGCTACCTCAATGTCCCCAGTTACATTACCGCCAACACCCGCTAATCTAGC